CGAGCGGAGGCCTGACTGGGGCCTTGCTGGGCGTTGGGGTGTCAGGAGCCAGCATGGGGGTCGGAAGCTCTGTCTACCCTAATGGAGGATTGCCAGTCACAGCACTAGGCCAGCCTTGTTCTTGCCAGCAGTGCATGCTGGTCCTCAGCGTGAAGGCCAATACAGGAGGAGGAGGAGGGATACAGACTCTGGGAAGACGATCTTTAACCATGCAGCGACCCAAGAACTCAGCGCCACCCCCTTCTAAATCGCTTAGTCCATCGAAATCAGCCACCCTGGGACGGGGACAGCAGCAGAACGCCAACTCCAGCTACTTTCAGACGCTGCCGCACGGCCTCGCCATCTCCAAGAACACCGCCTCCCAGAGGGTGAACGCCCAGCTCTTTGCTCAGTCTCTCGCCGCCCTCACCGCCGGCGCCTCCTCCATGGGGATCTCCGTGTCTTCCAGCAGGCCGCCTCCGCCGTCGCTCCCGCCACCTCAGCCCCCCACATCCAACCCGACCCCTCCATCCGTTCCGCCCAAGCATTCCTCATCTTCAGCCAGCGACTCGGTGCCAACCGCCACCCTGATCACCCCTGCCAGCAGCGTAACCACGCCTCCTTCTCCTGTGCCAACTCCATCACCGGTGGTGATGAAGCCGCAGCGGTCAGCGTCGTCCGCAGCGACAGTGTGCCACGCGCCTTTACCGCAGCGATCAAGCTTAGCCGGCCTGAGCAGACCGGCGTTGCAGAGGATTGCCATGGCTCAGTCCAGAGCGCTCATAGCTTCGGGGTGAGTGAATGAAACACACGCAGACGGTTTGTTTTGAACTTTAGCATTTTGTTTGTGTGGAGCCAGAAGTGACCAAAATTGTACAAGAGGGTGGAACATCAAATCATGGCTTTAGCATCCAGGTGAAGAGTTAAAATCACCCATCGGACAGCTGATGAAGGAAGAAACTATCCAAAGACACCAACATGTGTTTTGGAGCAGGTGGGCAGACTGCAGCAAACTAAAACAGGGACAAAGAGTTTGTTTGTGTGCACCACATTCATAGAGCTGAGAGGCATTTAGCATGTGAAGGTCGTCTTTATTTCATTTGAATACACAACAGAAGGCTGATTTGGCGTTATATTATAGTCTTCTGACTCTCATGCACCTTTATTTCTGTCCAAGTGACCTTTAAACCTGCTGTTAAGTGTTATTAGGGTGGCTTTGTTGTCTGAAAATACTTTTTCTGGTGGATCTGTATTTTTAAAATGGCCAACAATCACCTTCAGCCAGTTTCAGAAGTTTTGCAGCCTTAATTGCAGCAGCTTATTTGTAATAGTTTTCGTCCTATTCAACAAAAATCTGCATAGCTTGTGGCCTTGTGGTGAACTGCAGTTTTCCCCTTTGGCTGTAGCTCAGGTAGACTGTGACATGAAAACCAGCTATAGGAAATAATCTCACACAAAAAAAAGAGGCTTTAAAAATGTGCAGGATGTCTTCTGAACATGTGTGGATAGAGGAAAGGGGATAAAAACGCTGTGCAGTCCTACTTAAAGAGAGAAACCTGCTGTGAACATGTTTATTTGTGCTATAAAGTTGGACTTTTTAACAGTCTGTGGGGAGGAACTGCAGCTTTTCAAGCCGAACTATTAAAATTAGCAGCAGTAAGCATAGCTTAGCTCCCTAAAACTGCTCTTTCCTGCTGTTTCTCAAGTCAAATTTGGGCTACAGCTGGTCTGTTCGTCTCAGCAGACTGGCTCAGTATCTCTTTTATTCGATGTTAACTGCATGTAGCTACACAGGATCAGTATGTGTTTACATTTTAAACAAAGTCTGTCTGCATCTCATACTCGTGAATTTCCCACATTGCACAGTCTTAATGCTGTCAAATATGTACAGACATGCACAACGAAGGGCTCTCGTTGACAGTTTGCACTCTTGCATGTTCAAACATGCACTAACGTTGTTACAGATATGCACGCCTGAGTAAGAGCTGCTAAATATTTGCACACACACACACACACACACACACACACACTCTGTTTGTAATGAGTCGTGTGAGACTCTGAGTGGCTCTTTTCAGAGGTGGGATTCAGAGCTGTCTCTCTGTTAATAGTTTAGTTTCGGTATCTTAAATTTGTTTGCTCAAAAGGGCCTAACTATTTTCCCTCCAGCAGTGGCTGACTTATAAACAGGCAGCGGTGAAAAAGAATGAGATTCGGTGTCTGGGACGTGCCTGGTGGCTTTCTTAGAAGTCTGAAAATCATATTTTTGATGGGGTTAAAGCGACAGATACTATTTAGTTTGGATTCTAGTAAAAACATAGACAATGTCGAAGATTGATGTAGCTTCCAGATCTGTAAAGTGACAGAGGTGCCTTAACTCTGCATTCCTTTGAAAGGCCACCAGGGGGCGATCCTTGCGGTCACAGAAAGACTTCAGTCCTGTAGAAGTCTGTGGTACGGTGTACATTTTAGGACATCGTCAGGTCTCAAGAAAAAAGTTGTCAGGTATCAGACAAAAAATTGTCAGGTCTCAGTTGTCAGGAAAAAAGTTGTCAGGTATCAGACAAAAAATTGTCAGGTCTCAGTTGTCAGGAAAAAAGTTGTCTGGT